ATCTCTTTCGTTCAATTATGACACATTTCAGTTTCTCAGAATCCAGCACCAAGCCTTCTTCCCTTCTCACTGTTCCCTCTATGTCATCTTACCCACTTGTACTGCTTCAAAATTACATCTGTGGATTGTAGAGAAATCTCAAATAACAGCTCTTAAGACCAGCCTTGTTCAGGACCCACTGATTACTAGTCAATTCTTTTCAGGAACATCTCTACCTGGATTTTTTTGACGAGTGTCTCATCTCCGCAGTGAATGCCCTTGGCCCTGTAGTGTTCACTCTATGAGTTCTTGCACCAGCATCCTTTCTGTTGTTTATGCCAGAACTAGCGAACCACCAAGTCCTAAATGTGCTCCTTCCATAGCTCTCAAATCCTTTCCCACTGCCTTTCTCTAAGTCCTGTTATCTCTCATCTGGCTTCCTCCTACTAGGCTCCCCTACCAATGCTTCCTGTCCCCCTCAGAATTTTATTTTCTACATGAATTCAGAGAAGCTTTTCTAAAAGGCAAGTGTAGGTCTCTGACATTCAGTCTTTTCATAACATATTGCTCTCAGGATAGAGCCCCAAATTGAGACACACCTGTGTATCTAGTCTCTGCCCCATCTTTAGCTTATTGATTGATCGATTGAACACTTCTTTTCCTTGCTCTCTACATTCCAGATAGCTAAATGCTTTTCTTTCCTTCAAGTGTTCTGTCCTCTTCTGCTGCAGGGACTTTGCTGTCTTTTCTGCCTAGAAATTTTTCTAATCTCAGGCTAAACTTATATTTCCCTGCATTTCTCCTTCAAGCTTTCAGTGATAACTTGTTCCACATTCTTCTTTCCTACTTGACAAGAGGGTTCACAGCTGTGCTCCTGCTTCTGGTCTTCTGAGTTGGACAACAGTCAAGGCTTTTATAGCATATGCCCAGCATGGTGGTTCATGTATGTGGAGTTCAGTGAATTGCCAAGTTCTTATTGGCTTGGCTCAAACTTTCTCAGGCACTATTACTTTTAGATGGGTGACCTTTGACATTTCTACCACAATTCTGATAACATCAACATCTAGAATATATTTTGTTGGTGTGTGGGTAAACTCCACCCAGAGAAGATAATAGGTTCAAGAATCCTCTGCTCATAAATCCATTTTGATCTTACTTTTGTGCATGGTGTTAGGCAGAGATCTGAGCCCAATTTTTTGCATGTAGCCGTCCAATTTTGCCAGCACAGTTTATTGAAGAGGCTTTCCCTGCTCCATTTCACTTTTCTTGCCCCCTTGTCAGACCAGAATCTATAATGTTTATTGAAGACAAAGTCGGCAAAACTCTCCATGATATTGAAGCTAATGGTATCTTCAAAGATGTCACGCCACTGGCCGAGCAAGTGAAAACAGAGATAGACAAATGGGACTATCTTAAACTAAGAAGCTTCTGCACCTCAAAAGAAACAGTGACCAAAATACAAAGACAGCCTACAGAATGGGAAAGGATATTCACCAAGTACACATCCGACAAGGGGTTGATATCAAGGATATGCAAGGTACTGGTTAAACTCCACAAGAAGAAATCACCCAACCCCATCAAAAAATGGGGTGAGGAAATGAACAGAAACTTTCGCAAAGAAGAAATTCGAATGGCAAAAAGGCACATGAGAAAATGCTCTACATCACTAATCATCAGAGAGATGCAGATCAAAACCACAATGAGATATCATTTCACACCACAGAGACTGGCCCACATCCACAAGAACAAAAGCAACCGGTGCTGGCGCGGATGTGGCGAGAAAGGGACCCTCCTTCACTGCTGGTGGGAATGCAGGCTGGTCCAACCCTTTTGGAAAACAGTATGGACGACTCTCAAAAAATTAGAATTTGATCTGCCATTTGACCCAGCTATAGCACTCCTGGGAATATATCCCAGAGAGGCAAAAAGGTATAGTCGAAGTGACATCTGCAGTTGTTTGTTCATTGCAGCACTCTTTACAATAGCCAGAATCTGGAAAAAACCTGAGTGCCCAAGAACAGATGACTGGTTAAAGAAACTTTGGTACATTTACACAATGGAGCACTATGTAGCTGTTAGAAAAGATGAAGTTATGAAATTTACATACAAGTGGTACTACATGGAAAGTATCATGTTAAGTGAAATGAGTCAGAAAGAGCGGGATAGACACAGAAAGATTGCATTCATCTGGGGAACATAAAGCAACAAAAAGGGAGATTAACACCCAGGAATGGCTGAGATTAGTACCAGGAATTTTGCTCCATGAATGGAAGGCCAGCCACACGTTCTAGGTGAAAAGAAGTTCAGATAGAGAAGAGAGCACCAAATGAAGGGTGTTGTGAGGACCCTCCCAGGGTGGGAGAAGCATGCTAAAAGTAGTCTATAGACCAAACATGATTGCCACTCAAAGCCTCTCTTGCAAAACACAGTACCCAAAAGAAGAGAGAGAGAACAAGGGGGAATACCCTGCCACAGAGGCAGAATGGGACGGGGGGTATGGGGGGTGGGGGGGATGCTGGGACCCATGGTGATGGATGACGGGCACTGGTGGAGGGATGGGCACTTGATCATTGTATAACTGAAACCCAAGCACAAAATTTGTAAGCCTATAACTGTACCTCATGGTGTTTCACTAATAAAAAAGGAAAAAAAAAAAGAATCCTCTGCTCAATAATTCCCACCGGGGGCTGGAGCAATAGCACAGCGGGTAGGGAGTTTGCCTTGCACGTGGCCAACCCAAGTTCAATTCCCAGCATCCCATATGGTCCCCCAAGCACCGCCAGTAGTAATTTCTGAGTGCATGAGCCAGGATTAATTCCTGTGCATCGCTGGGTGTGACCCAAAAAGCAAAAAAAAAAAAAAAAAATTCCCATCGTTTAGACTTAACCTAAAGTTAAACCTAAAGAGTCATCTTTACCCAGATTCTCCTGGGAAAGTCTACTCCTCCGGTAGCTTCCTAGAGAAGTCTGTCCTGACCAGAATAACTCCCTCTTTCTTATTTTCTTCCTATCCCTCACCCTTCAATCCTTCCCAAAGCCACTGGGGGAGAATCTAAGTTACCCAGCTGTGCTGAGGGCTAACTCCTGGGTCTATGCTCAGGGGTCACTTCTGGTAGTGTTTGGAGACCATAGCTAGTGCTGGGGATTGAACTTGGGATGGCTGCATATGAGGCATGTGCCTTAGGCCCTGTACTATTGCTCCACCCAACAATACTTTTTGTATATCACACTCATTTTCTATCAATCCCACAGCTATTTACTGAGTGCTTTATATGTGTAAGTAAGTAAAGTAAAGGCCCTCCCGTTGATCATCGATTTGCTCTAGCAGACCCAGTAATGTCTCCATTGGAAATTTTGTTGTTACTGTGTTTGGCATATCGAATACGTCACGGGGAGCTTGCCAGGCTCTGCCGTGCGGGCGAGATACTCTCGGTAGCTTGCCAGGCTCTCTGAGAGGGGCGGAGGAATCGAACTCAGGTCGGCCATGTTGGCTGCGTGCAAGGCAAACGCCCTACCGCTGTGCTATCGTTCCAGCCCAATAAAGGCCCTCCCATTGATCATCGATTTGCTCGAGCGGGCCTAGTAACGTCTCCATTGGAGACTTTGTTGTTACTGTGTTTGGCATATTGAATACGCCACGGGCAGCTTGCCAGGCTCTGCCCTGAGGGCGAGATGCTCTCGGTAGCTTGCCGGGCTCTCCAAGAGGGGCGGAAGAATCAAACTCGGGTGGGCCATGTTGGCTGCGTGCAAAGCAAACGCCCTACCACTGTGCTATCATTCACCATTTTTCTAGATGTCTTAAATGGGGGGAGGGGGCCTTTCCTGCTTCATCTTGGCACGTTTGGGTGACTGGACACTTTCTAAGGGTGCCTCTGACTTTGTCTTCCCAGGCACATTGCCAACCAGCTCTCCTGGGTTCAGAAGAACAATTGGATCTCTGTGTAGGGGGCATCACTTGTAGCTTTACCTAGAAAGGCACATGTTGGTTTTGATTCCAAATCTCACTTTTTGTGCATGCTTATATTGTCCACCACCCCTGTCCCTCCACCCCAAATGCCAAATTTTAGGGTTCAGCGCAGGATTGAAAGGTGAGCTCACAGGACCCTTTCTCAAAAGCCACCATTAATGTCACTGTTCATCCTACCTCTGTGATCAGGAGTCATTCCTAAGAGTGTTCAGGGGACCATATGCATTGCTAGGAATCAAGCCTGGGTCAGCTGTGTGCAAGGCAAGCACGTAGCCCCAATACTATCTCTCTGGCACAAGACACTTTGAATTTGGTGAGGAGAGATACATAACTAGAAAAGGTCATATGTTTTATAGCCGGAGGCAAACTATAGCCTGCCTATGAAGATGGGTCTTCTATTCAGGTGGGGAGAAAGCAGCCAGGCTTCTGGGTCAGGGGGTCATGGGCCAGTGCCCTCCCATCTCTCACACTGGGGCACGACAGGAGCCCCTACAACTTAGACACCCTCATAGGGGAGTACTGGATTCCTACTTGATTGCTAGAACCCAGAATTCACAAACATTTAGTTAAATTGATGGTTAATTTACTTAAATTATCTTCTAAAGCTCATGTCATGGGAGTTCAAGGCAGACATTAAGTTATAACTATGACAGTTACATCAACAAAACATATTGGAGTATTTTTTGTCATGTTAGAAAAATGAAAGACTGTTGAAGTTCTTGGACACCTGAGCAATAGCTTGAAATTCTCTGGGCCTGCCAGAGTGTCTTTTGGACATCTAGCTTGGGAAATACATCAGAAGTGGATGCTCATTTGGATAAGAAATTAACTAGGGCATTTCATTCCTTCCAGTTCTTCAGTTCCTACTTTTTTTTTGAAAAGCAATCCCTATAAAACACCACACAGCTAAAGGCTTCTAGAGACTCATAACATAAAAAGAGGTCCTAGAACGTAGAGATGGGTGGGTGCTTGGACTCAGAGGTGGGGCATCATTCCATGGCTCACACTGAACTCATGTGGCACTGTGAACTGACCTGTGCAAGTTAGGCACATACCTTCAAGGACAGAGGTCATGATGCTGACCACACTCATGGCCCTTTTCGAGCGGAAAGATTCATCCAAGTATTCTGCTGACAGGAAGTTCTTTTGTCCAGTGTCCAAGGCCTGCAGGGGCATGAACAGAGCCAAGGTACATTACTCAGTCTCCTGGACTATCCAGTGCTACTTCCCCAAGATTCTGTTGTGGTATTTGGAGAAATAAGGATGCTGTCTGAACTTGGGGTGCAAATTTATCCACAGGATTGGGACACAGAATAGGGGGTCAGCCAGAGCCCTCATTTGCAGGAAAGAAGTTGAGTCCACCTGAGACTCTGCTCATTCCTACCCTCACACCCTGGATACTGGAGTGGGTGTGTCTGTGGAGCTGATTCAAGCATCTCAGAGGTTCTGACCAAAGAGAGGTGAGTGTTTTGGTATCCTCTGGAGACTTCCTCAGGGCATGCAGAGCTGATTCAAGCATCTCAGAGGTTCTGACCAAAGAGAGGTGAGTGTTTTGGTATCCTCTGGAGACTTCCTCAGGGCATGCAGCTGGTGCAGGTGCGTACACAGAATTTCTCCTTTGGGGTGGCCTTTTCTCAGTCTCCCTTTTGTAGGTTGGGGCCCCTCCCTCATACTGCCCTGCCCTCCAGTTTCAATGCCATTCAAGTGCTTGCCCTCTGAGGTAGCATTTGTGAGTCTTGATTGTCCAGTTGTCAGAAGTCTGACAGTGTCCTTTTAATGTCATCACTGAAGTTCTATCTCGCTTCTGGGCCGGGCTCCCAGCCCCATTCATTCCCATGCCAGGAACCTGGGGACTTGACCACAGTGGCTCACTCAGGGCTACACAACACATCTGAATCCTCTTTCAGCTGGTGCCTACCATAGGGGAGGTTCTTAGGGACCAGAAATGCCAAATAACTATAATGACGATGGTTGCTGTTTAAGACACAAGTGTCTAAAACACATGCAAGCACTTTATATATTACTTATTCCTTTTAACTTTTCAGCCAAGTCACTAGCTTTTTACAGGGAGATATAGAGATTTCAGCAAGGTAAGGGACTTGCACCAACTTGCTAGTTGGTGCAGGGCAACAGCTGTGGCTGGAACCGAGGTCTCTGCAAAGCAGGACAGGCTATATAAGCTCATCTTTCACTGGCTAATAAAGCAACTCAATTGGATAGAGTTCAGAATATGTAATGACTTAAGAAATAACCACCTTTCTTTCCTTCCCTCCCTTTATCCTCCCTCCCTCCCCCATCCCTCTCTTCTTACCCTCCTCCCTCTCTCTCTCCTCCTCCCTTCCATTCCTTCCATTTTCCCCCACCACACCCAGTATTGCTTGGCAACTACTCGAGGCTCTGTGATTAGGATGTACTCCTGTCAATGCTGGGGACAGGTAGGAGGTAGGAGGGCGCTATGTGCAGTGCCAGAGATTAAAACAGGTTGGCCATAAATGCAGAGACCTGATTTCTTTCTTTTTGCAGCTCCAGAGACCAAATCTAGTACCTAAAACATGCTGGTATGTGCTCACCACTGAGCCACACCCACAATTCTACATAGGGCTTCTTGACTAAGGCATTTCTTTGATGTTAAGTACCTCCAACAGGTCCCGGTGGGCTGAGTTTGACAACTGGACTCAAGGTTGGTGACTTTGTTGGTCCTTGGAGACCTGATGTCATTATTTTCTAACTGCTCTGTGCCCAGGGAATTGGTTTTTACAAACTGTATTGTTCTCACCCTCAGTTCTGGTCAGGTTTTTCTAATGGGAAACCCAGAAATGCACTCAGAGGCTGGAAGGAAAGAGAGTGAGGCATCTCAGTCTGTCTGAATCTCAGCTTTGTGGCTGGTCTGTTTCATTTAAGCCTGCAAGTTCTTCTGGTCACCTCTCACGTATAGAGGTGGCTCTTTCTGGGCTCTGGTTCTGGTCCTTTCCCTGGTCCAAGACAGGCACATTGGGATGTCTCGCTGGCTAGATTCTATGTGCCTCTGTCCCTTATTCCCAGCGTTCACCACACCTTTGTCTAAACAGTTAAAATTCTCCATTTTTCTGCTTCCTGCTAGAACCCTCCTCTCCTCCCTCCCCGCTGTGTCCCACGCAGTCAACTTCAACTTTGGCCAGAGAGAGGGAATGAGAGCTGAAGATGGGGTAGGGAGGACTGTATGAAACATATAGGACTATATGAAACATACTTTATTCTTAAGCTCATTTTCTTTTATACTATGTAGTGACCACTCCGTAGGAAAGCCAAGAGTTACAAGTTGAGTGAGCTACATTATCAGTTATTCTGCTTTGTAGCTGTGTGTGCGAGCAGTTCCTTGAACTCTCTCAGGAATGAGAATGTGGTTCTTGGCCCGGCCAAGGCAGATCAGGTACAGATTTCCCTTCAGTCCCCCTTAACAGGGTCAGCTGCCAGGGACAAAGGCATGATGCTCCCACAAGCCCAGTTTTTCCTTTGCTCATTCCCTTCTCAGGGAAAGCAAGCAGGGGCTACCAGTCCCCAACACCTCCCTCTCTCTTTCTCTTCCTCCCTCCTTCCTTCCCTCCCTCCCTCCCTCTCAGAATCCAATCAGAGGGTAGGCTAATGTCACTGGAACATGGATATGGCTCAATAGATCTACCTAATGTCTCCTCTAAGTCTGCTTGAAAACTACTCTGTCTCCGGCTAGCCTGAGAGGGCACATGGAGCACACTAGATGTATCATTACTGAAACTGGTGGGAGAGCTCAAATTGAATCTCAGCTCCTGATTTCATGAGGCGCCCCATTCTGCATTAAACTCTGTGATTACTCTATTAGGTTAGTTAGTCATTGTTGCCTAATGTGTGCCTCTGTACAAGTTAGAGCTTCTCCGAGTTAAGCAAGAAAAGCTGCTTCTGCTAATAAGTATCCAGGGTGCCTTTCCAGATTTCTTTGGATTCTTTGTGCAAAGACTATGGGAGTTTTCACAGATCCCCAAGTAGGAAGAGAAGAACTTTCCATTTATCTCCTGATCTTCCAGGAAATAAGTAGATTGATCTCTAGTGCTATGGCAATTGGGATAGAGAAGCACTGAGAAGGAATCTGCAGTCATCTGAGAAATAGTTTTTGGACATCCCCCACCCCTCTCCTGTCTGTGAAAAGAGTCAGGTGAAAGATGCTGGGTGGAAAGATGTTCAGGGAGAGCTGGAGGGAACTCTAAGAGAGTCTGGAATGTTCACAAACTTACTGAGACTTCGATGGGGCCAGGACTAAGCTCATTAGCTGGCAGGGTGGTGTGTCCATCTTCCCCAAGTCCAGAGCCAGGGTTGGGAACTTCAGGCAATGGGCTCCTAGAGAGAGGACCTTGCTGACCTGCACCTCCGCTCAGCAGTAGCGATCCCCGATGACTTTCTTGGTCTGCTGATAGGACTCCATCATCCTTGGTTCCATCAGAAAATGAGACATCTTGCCTGGGGGCCCGGAAATTGAACACACTGCCATGGCTGGCTCGGCGTCTCCCAGGGGTAAGGCCTAGGAAAGACTGGCGTTGCCCCAAAGCAACAAAAAAGAAGGCAATTGAATGTCCTGTAATTGAACCAGAGGCACAAAATGTTCTTCCAACCCGTTCCCTCCCCCTGCCCTTATTCTTACCAACTTTCAGTAGCAAATTCAAAACACAGATCAAACAGAGGGGTATTCTAGGCATATATGAGTAGAGAACAGGGAGAAAATACTCTCTCTCTTTTTTTTTGGTTTTTGGGTCACACCTGGCGATGCACAGGGGTTACTCCTGGCTCTGCACTCAGGAATTACTCCTGGAGGTGCTCAGGGGACCATATGAGATTTTGGGAATCAAACCTGGGTTGACCGCGCGCAAGGCAAATGTCCTACCTGCTGTGTTATCGATCCAGCCCTAGAAAATATTCTTAAGAGAATATTTGGGTCTGAAGACATAGCACAGTGGGTAGAGTGCATTCCTGGCATATGGATGACCCGGGTTCATATGGTCCAGAACCCCAGATGGTCCCCTGAGAATTGTCAGGAATGAACCCAGAGTCAGGCATAAGCTCTGAGTATCACCAGTGGATATGATCCCTTGCCAAAATTTTTTTTTGATTGAGCCTGAGAAAGAGCCAGGAAAGAAGAAAGATAAAGAAGTTCTTAAGATGAGAAAATAAGTGATGATGGCATGCTAGAAGATATTTTTTACCTAGATTGGTCAGCTATTTACTCTTGTCACAGAGCTACACAGAGATATCTGGGCAGAGTTCCACATGCAATGTAGTAATCTAAAAAGGTACTATTGAGGACATCAGGACTGAAAGATTCTTGAAAAATGGTTGTTAAGTGAATATGTGCACTTTTATGTTTGAAATTATGTTCTATAGCTTATCAGATCTAACCTATAAGAGTGTGAGAGCATGTGTTGTGAAACGGGGAGACAAAAGCTCTACAATATAACCAGCTTCCATCATCCCTTAGGAAATATTTGAATAGTCAACAATGGAGAGATTGAAGAGAGTTTTAGCCTGATTTCCTGGAAGAATAATTCCATTCCTCCAAATCAATAAGCATTTCCCATCAGAATCATCCTCTGAGGAAATTGTGACTTACAGTTGCCAGAGAAAAGAAGCCAGTTCATAAGGCCAGAGTCCATACAAAGTTGCAGTGTTGGCTGGACTAGTACTCTTGGCCATCATGAGAATCTGACCATATCAAGTCTGTCTTTAGGTCCTCAGAACATTTAGAAAACTTAAAACATGGACTTCATACATAACTCTGCTCCAACTATTGAAAATTTCCCTTTCTCTTAACATCCTTTGCTTCTATATCAGTTAGCATCCCCCTTACTTATCCTCTATCCTACCATTCCTCAACCAGAAGCCATATTTCCCAAAGGCCCTCAGGATATTCCAAGGGGACCAAAGGTTAAAATTGCATAAGTGGGGGACATCAAATAATACTGAAGGAAAAACTGAGAGGCCATAGGCAAAAAAAAAAACAAGGCCAAATTGGGCCACAGTTGAAAAGGGGCTGAGAAACACTGCATTATTCCACAAAATAAAAATTGCCTTTATTGATAATTTGGAGTCCAGTTCTGTTCAGCAGCTATAACTGCATTATATAAAGGACTTGATATACATTCAACTCATACAAATTAATAAGTGCTCCCAATTTTTGAATCAAATGAGTAGGGTTGGTAAACCCTTTTTAATGAAAAATGACTAAGTCATTTGTACCTGAAAATTTAGGAAGAAAAGCAATGAAGAAAATAATTTAAAAAATTGGTTCCATGGACAGGCAGTGCCTCCTTGGCCACCAGCAAATATTCAAAAATTAACTTATTTAAGAACTAGTGGGCAAAAAACTCACAATCTGGGGATTACATGTGGGATGCATCCTCCTAGCAGGATAATTAACTTATTACAGGTTTTCTGAAGACTCTTAGCTCTCCAAATGCAACATGGAACTTCCGTCTTAGGGCTACTGGTCTGAAAATGGTTCTATGTGACTTATTTGGCACATAAATGTCTCTGGAAAAAAAGGTTTGAGCTTTATTCTGGGATAGACTTCAATCAATTGGCATTAGAGTACTTCCCAAATCCTATCTTCCTGACTGTTACTACTTGTGCCTAGAAAACATCCTCCCCATCCTCTTCAAGCCCTCAATTACTGAAGAAATGCCAACATGCCATTATTAATTTTAATAATTCCTTCATAAAGTCCTGCTCCTGCCCCCTCATGGCGGGGGCGGGGGACGGGGTTGAAGAGCAAATGGAATGAGGGGTGTGTGTGTGCGTGTAGGGAGAAATTAAAGCTCAATTCAGGGTGTCATGCACATTTCTATGAGAACTGTGAGCAAACCCTTTCAGAGACTTAGGAAGTTCTGGGTAAATTCTTTTTGAATGATTTTTTGAACTGTACCCTGTACTGTTGGCTACAATTAAAAAGAGGCATAACAAGAAAGGACAGGTCCCAACTTCTGGTAAATAGTGAGGTGTGGGAACCACTGAAGTCACAGTACCTGTGAGCATGCCTGTGTGTGTATATTATACGCACACTTGTCTCTGGGGCTGTAGACTTGGTATCCTCCAAAGTAGGACTTTATTCAGGTGAACACAGAAAAAGAGATCAAGGGAAAAGGGCAGAGGCCTGAAAAATAGTGAAGTCAATATTCCCTCTCATACTATTAGTGTGAGAACAACTGTCCCCCAACTATTTATCAGACCTCTAAGAGGGGTTTTATTGTGGGATATATCAACCTTTCGAGGAAAGGGAGGTAGAATGAAACTTGGGGAGGACAGGGAATCCTGGAGTGAGCAGTAAAAGATCAAGACAGAGCACATACTTGACACCATGTCAAAAAAATGCTGAAATTATTCCTAGGCTGTACTGTGTTACAGAGATGAGAGCAGAGAGATTCTGTGTCTGGGCAACAAACCAGATATTGAGCTGCTGAGCAGAGCCCTGGCAGCTGAAGACCTCCAGTTCTAGCCACAGCCATGCTTAAGACCACTCTCCACACGTTTGGAGGAGCCTCGCACATGAAGGAACTGGCAAAGGAACCAAGGTGTGTTGGACCCAGGGCATAGATCTCCAAGCCTGCTCAGATTGGGACTGGGCCTTCTCCTCCCAGATCCCCCATCTTCCAATATGTAGGTTTTACATCCACCAACTGCCCTGCCCCCGGCGCCATGTAATCCCATCAACGGCCAAGACCCAGAGACTATAAAACCCAGCTCCTGGAAGCGCGAGGCCACATTTGTGGCTGCACAACATCGTATTATCTAGTTCTTACTCTGGAAAACCTGGCAGGCCATCAAAAGTATCCTGTTTACACGGCAGAGTCTGGCAAACATCCCGTGGCATATCCAATATGCCAAAAACCAGTAACAATGGATGGGTCTTATTCTCCTGACCCTGAAAAAGCCTCGAATGTGGCACTTTCTAAAATCTCAGGGCTAGGACACAGAAGACATTACTGGTGCCTGCTCGAAGAAATTGATGAACAACAGGATGACAGTGATACAGTGATACAGGGAGCTGCTGAGATGCGGGCATGACAGGGAAATAACTTCAGCACCATGGACAGGGAACTGCCCTCTCCTTTCCCCCCACTCTGCCAAGGGCTCCCGACTTGCTTTATGTGCAGCTTCAGAAAAACAGCTGTATGTCCACAGTCACCTTGAGATCAATATGTATTCTATAAGTTTAGACCCTTCGTACAAGCCAGTGCACCTGTCTACAATTCGTGCACCCTCCTAGTTGCTCAATTCTGAAACTTGGGAGTCTTTTTGGACTCCTCCATTCCCCATATTCCACTGCCCCATCTTGCCAACTATACACCCCAGTCTCAGCATGAAATCTTTATAATAGCCCTTTTCTTCCCATCCATAATGCTCTTGAACGACTTTAAGCCCCCCTCCTGCCCCAGAGAGCTGTGGGGAGGGAGTCTGGGAGAGTCAAACATCCTCCTCATGCCTGTATTCTAGATAACTTTCTGCTGAGCCCCATACCACTTCCACCTCTTATTTGCAGCTGGACACTCTGTGGCAGATGGACGATCTTGAGAACATAAACCTGAGCTCCTTACCATCCGGCGCTGGTTGTAAGTGTCAGACTGTGGGGATTTGTTCTCCTCTGCGGAGCTCTCTGACATCTTCATCTTCATTCTCTGCCTCTGTTCACTGAGATGTTTGAAAGCTGGAGGTGACCCACTGTAGGAGTGGAGAGATTCTATGTCCACGCCCAGGACTTCTAGAACCTGGAGAAAAAGAACTAAAGCTGTGGCCAATAGCACCGGGTGGGATCTGGCAGGAATGTGTCCCCACGCATGGCTGTCACAGACTGGAACAAAGATGATCGGGATTAGTATCAAGGTGTGGGCTTGAAGAATGGGAATGCTACCTCTGGGTCACCTCTTTCCCACCCGCCCCCCGTAGGGCTCCTCCCAGCCTGCTTTTCCAGTTAATGCCTCATTGCCAACTGTTGGACTATTATCTGCTAATAATGCACAGCTATAGTGTCTGCAGAAAACTTCCTTGGTCCATCTGGCTGGGGCAAATGGGACACAAAACTTCAGCTCTCTAACACTAACTCTACCATACAAGTTATGCTCCAGAGCTCCCCATGAGGGCAGGATGAAGGTTATCTCTAACTGGGGGTCATTTGTTTTGTTTCATTCTGCCTTGCCCCATTCTACAACCCTCCACAATCTTCTCAAGAGCACCCACACCCCCTGAGAATCACTTCCACAAGCTTCATTCAGGTTATTTTTGTTTAAAGAAAACCTGACCTACTAGGAATCTTAATAGGAAACTGCAGTTCCTTAGAATAACAGACTTAGCCTAAGTGGCAGATCCAGATCCTGGCTCACAGCTGGCTACTGATGTCACAGGGCAGGCCCAATACACAGACCTCCTGTTCCTTTCGGAGCAACTCAGAGGCCTCTCGGAACTTCTTCTCCTTTGCTTCAATTTCATCAATGGTCGCTTGGTTCTGTTCCTCATAGGCCATGGTAACCACAGCCAAGATTAAATTGACCAGGTAGAAAGATCCCAGGAAGATGACAAGCACGAAAAAAACCATATAGATTTTCCCAGAAGCCCTCAGGGTCTGTAGATTCAAGAGAAAGAAGAAAAGGATGGACATGAAAACTAGGGGACCCTCATGTTGCCGGGCTTCCACAGGAAGCTGACTCTCCAGCATCTCCCCAAATCTGTGGGGGACCCACAGACCCATACCTGCTGGTAGAGGCGTTCCCAGGAATCCTGTGTCATGAGGCGGAAGAGTGAGAGGAAGGCCCAAGAGAAGGAATCAAAGCTGGTGTAGTTATAATCTGGGTTGCTAGCAGTTTTAAGGCATAGGAAACCGGGAGGGCAGTGGCTGTGGCAAAAACAGAGAAGGTCATTCAGAGCTCTAATTCCCTGGACTGTTTGAGAAACTGGTGAAGCTTTGTCTGGTACCAGCAGGACAAAGGCAGCAGGAAGATCCTGGGATTTAGAGCCAGACACTGGGGTTCAAGGCACAGTCCTCATTTTTATAGCTGGATAGCTTCGGACACTTGGTCTCCTTAGGTTTCACTTTTTTTAACCCATAAAACGACAATTCTCAGAGTTTCAATGAGAGGGGAGGCAACAGAAGGCCAACTGACCTCCTAGACATGACCCTGCAAGGTGGCCAGCTCTTTGCAAGCTTACAGCAGGTGGAGAAAGTCAGTCTCAATAATGGAGACTTCAAAAGGAGACAGCTGGACTCACCTATAGAGTTGTCCTATTAAAGGGCACACATTAGCCACATTCTCTGTCCAATTAGATAGAACAATGAAGACATCACTTTCCATGCACGGAGCACTTGCTGTGAACCTCTCTCCCTCCTAAGTGCTTCACAAATGCTATAATTTAAATCTTTTCCACATTACCTTTTTACAGCCCAGAAGCTGGAGTTCAGAGAGAAGTCGGTTCCTAAACCACACAGATGCCAACATATTTATTTATGAGGAGGAGAAATATAATCATCAAGTAGCTTATGAAAACTGATGTAGGGAGCAGGCCAAGTCAAAGATTACTGTCTCCTATGTATGACCGAGGGGAGCTGACTTCTCTCATGAGGGGAAGGTCAAATGCTCTGAACACAGGGCATGGGAAGTGCTCTCATTCACCTTGGTGGCCTGGCCTGTTTGAAGAACTGGTGAAGCTTTGTCTGGGACTTGAGCAATTCAAGCTCTCTCCACCAGCCCTTACCTCTGGGCCCTCCCTATTCTAGATGTCCCAGCAAACACAAGTGCTGGGATGCTACCACTGGTTGGTGTCCATAAGTGTGATGATAGTTATTTTCAATTCATTGTCCAAGATTGGAGATTAAGTAAATTTGAATTTTGTTTTTGGGGCCACACCTGGTGATGCTCATGGACTTTCTCTTGGCTCTGCACTCAGGAAGTACTCCTGGTGGTACTCAAGGGACCAGATGGAATGCCAGGGATTGAATCCAGTTAGCCTCACACAAGACAAATGCCCTACTTTCTGTACTATCTCTCTGTCCCCAAGATTAGGTATATGTCTCCTGTAGAATCGTGCTCACAATCTCTGCAACATGCTTAAATAGCTACCTGTTCAGTTTAGCAGCAACTAACTTGGAGATTTAAATGAGACCATAGAGTAAAACGTCTGCATGCTTTCTTTGGCATAGTATCACATGTAAACTGTAAAGGGATTTTTTTCCTTTCTTTCTTTCTTTCTTTCTTTCTTTCTTTTTTTCTTTCTTTCTTTCCTTCTTTCTTTCTTTCTTTCTTTCTTTCTTTCTTTCTTTCTTTTCTATTTGGAAATTGAGAAGATAAAGAAAGAATGGACTGGAGTTGTATACGCAAAGGAATCTTTGAAATTCTTCTTCTGCATCTGCTACTCAGCATACACCACTGGGTACACCAGTCTGCATCCCATACTTTTCAGAGCCACTGGTTAATGCTCAAGCTTCCACTTCTGAACTATAGCAGGGTCAGTTTGGTGTTTGCAGTCCCTTAGATGTGCCCTGAGCTGGCCTCTCCTCCCCAGCCCCATCCCATCCATGCCTGTCTCATCTGGCCCTCCCCCATTGGAATCTGGCCTGTCTGGGAGCTGAGGCAGAGACTACAAGTGTGGCCCACAACTTGACCATGGGACAGACTGTGCGCTGCACTGTAGCCAGTGACTAAGAAAAGGCACTGGCCAGACAGGAAATGGACAAGTGGAGGAGGGGCCCTTGGCATAAACTGAAGACGATGGAAAAGTTGCTGACCTCAGAATGATCCCCTTCCTATACCAAAGAACTAAATGCCAAGAACAATTGTGGAGAAAAAGGCCCGAGAAGCTGCAGGGTTCCTTTCCTGCTTGTCCTTTCCCCACGACTCCATCTGAGATGGCTTTTCTTTTTGTCTCCATACAGATCCTACCCGGCTCCATCGACTCAACAAAGAGTGTGGAATCTCATGGACTCTGACCGTCCAGGTCCCAGCCATGGTGACACAATAGAGCCCCTTTCCTGAGCTGTTCTTGGGGTTTCTGCTCATTCCCTACACCTGTGGTCAAGACATCAGGTGGGACTGTGGGGGCCCTCAACCTCCACCCCTTCACTTTGTCTCTGGTGTTCCACGTTCCCACATGGTCTCTGCCTCCTCTCTCCGTATGGTACCCTCCTTGGTCTCCCCCAGTTCTCCTCTCCTCTGCTCTCCCCCTTGGGATTCCCCAGCGTGAGGGGCTTTTAGCACAGGGCCCACTTGTCACATGGTGCCTCTGCATGTGTGTGCTCATAATCTGGCAACTGGCAGGCTGAATGTGGCTTGTGGGAATATTTGGTTTGGCTCACAATATGCAGACTTTGTTTCTGGAACAGGTAGGCAATGTTTATAACTGCGGTATTCCATTTTTTAAATCTCTTCTTTGTTTCTATTTTTAAAAAGTCTTTAATTTCCCATCTCTCTTTTAAAAGGAAGATCTGAAAGCAGTGCACCCAGCTTTCCTCATGGCCTCCAAAAGCTGGGCCCACTTTAGAGAAGATTTGTGGTGTTGGTTTCCCTTTCCCCACATCTCTCCTGTGTTGTTTGTTTGCCCTCTGATGTCACAAAGTCTGGTGCATGTGCTTTGTCTTCTGTTTATGTGGAGACAATGAAACTCATGCAATAGAACTCATGCAATAGAATTGTGATCACACATAGCACATTTGACTCCAAAACCTAGTTACTAAAATGTCTCATGAAGTGAACTGACCTGTGACTTGCCTTGACCAAGAGGAGCTATAGAGTGATGTTATGCCATTTTTAAATTTAGGCCTCAAGAGACCTTGTACATTTTCACTTTTCCTCTTGGAACTCTGATTCAGCTGTGTGAACAAACCTGGGTTAGCCTGTGAAACCCGAATGAACAGGGATAAGTCACTTCAGCTAGGGCCATCTTTGGTCAGATGTACAGAACCATGAGCTCAATAAATGACTGGTTTTATAAGTCATAAAACCTTGATAATGTTATGTAAGAAAAACTATCTCAGGGCCCGGAGAGATACTACATCAACTAGGTGCTTGCCTTGCATGTGGCTGACTCAGGTTTGATCCCTGGCATCCCATATAATTCCCTGAGTAACCTCTGAGAGCAGAGCCCTGAGAACTGTGGGATGTGCCAAAAAAAGAAAAACTAACTCATACACTCCCACCTTGTGAACTCTGGGATGAATGTGGCATTAAGTTTTTCATGTTTCCCAGGACTTGTGACTCAGTCTCTGTCCAAAAGATGCTGAAAACAGAGAAAAAAATCTACTAGGCATTGGTGCTTTGTCACAACCGGGCACTTACCCTGCATCAGATCCATTGCCACAGAGTAAGGGATCTTCGGTGCCATTCTTTTTGTAGTAAACTGCAAACAAGAGGATGAAATGAGAGTCATATCTGGCTCTGATTTCTCCAGCTCAAGACTTCCATAGTGAAGGTAAGCCATCCTTAGTCTTCTCAACAAGGCAAGTTCCCTTCACCTTATGCACCCCAGGGGCACATGCAACCCCCTAGGAAGGAGAAGGTTCCCATCTGGGAAGAGAAAATCTGAGCACTGGCTTTAACTCTGAGCCTCCCAAAAAGAGGAAGTATGATTTGTCCCTGGAAGTGTGACTTATTTCCTTGAAAAAGGGAAATTGGGCAACATTAAATGGTAATCCCTAAAGCAAACCGCAGGAGAAGCATTTCACAGAGGAGCTAACTCAAAATCTCTATCTAGGTGCCAGAGAGATAGTACAGTGGGTAGGGTGCATGGTTTGCATATGTTGAACTTGGATTCAATCTCCAGCATACCATATAGTTCCCTGAACATTGGTAGTAGTGATTCCTGAGTGCAGAGCCAGTAGTAACCCCTGAGTATTATAAGGTGTGACCCCAAAACTAAAAATAAAATAATAACAACCAACAAACGAAATGCTCTACCTAGGTCTGCTGGGAATCCAGGGTTGTTTCCAACCTGACTTGATTTGTACCCGCAGTTGTCATTCGGAATGCTGCAATTCTTGAGACATTTGTTTTTCAGGTTACCCTTAAAGAGCTGCAGACCCACCAACGCAAACACGCTCAGGCAGAAGATGGTGAGGATGGTCACATCAGCCAGCTTCCTCACAGAGTGGATAAGGGCTCCCACGATGACCTTGAGCCCTGTGGGAAGAAGGCAGGGGTGCTGCTCCCAGGGATGAGGTGATACAGACAGCACACTCCCATGCCCACCATCTTCACCCACACAGAGGGGAGCACTCCACACACTGCTAGGCAGGTCTCAACCCAGTCCTCATGAGAATGTTAGAATAACCCTGAGATGCAGACAGAGACTCTTGCTCCCATTGAAAAGATGAGGCAACTCAGACCTAAGGGAAGCATTTTTAAATCTTCTTAAAAGTAATAAATCTCTGAAAGCAACAGATTGATTGAAATAATATTGAATCCCCATTATGTTCCAGGCACTGTGCTAGCTGCAACACAATGACTCAACTCCAGCTATTTCTCTCGGCTTGTATTACTTATGACTTTGGTGCCCAAGGCCCTCCAGTACTGTCCTTATGTCACTTATTTTCTGCCTTACCCCTTCTTGCCTTCTCCACCGCCCCCCCCACACTCCCACTAGTTAGCCTCAGTTCTGTGGTCAGAATCTACATGTATGTTTGCACTGACAATTGGTTTCTTTGCAGACTACAGATGACTGAAATCACCCGGCACTTGTCCTTCCTTTAACTTTTTTCACTTGTCATGACACCCTCTAGTTCCATCTAAGTTGTAGCAAAATTTCATCTTTTCTCTTTTTATTTTTTTAATGGTAGATAGGGATTAAACCTAGGGCCTCCTGTATGCAAGATAAGTGTTCAACCACTGAGCCACATCCCTGACTCCATAATTTTTTTTTTATGTTGAGTAGTACTGAGTTGTGTGTATATGTACCACAATTCTTTGTCTACTCATCTGTCACTGTTGGGTAGGGCATTTGCCTTGCATGAGGCTGACCCGGGTTCAATTCCTCCGCCCCTCTTGGAGAACCTGGCAAGCTACGGAAAGTATCTCGCCCACACGGCAAAGCCTGGCAAGCTACCCGTGATGTATTTGATATGCCAAAAACAGTAACAAGTCTCACAATTTCTTGTGAGACATTACTGGTGCCCGCTCAAGCAGATCGATGAACAACGGGAGGACAGTGCTACAGTGCTATCCTGCAGTGAACATACACATACACATCGTTTTGAATTGGTATCTGCCTTTCTGCACTGACCTCAGATTGAGGAGGCAACTTGAGACACACAAGAACCTTAGTGTGTGTGTGTGTGTGTGTGTATTAGAGAGATGGATAAATAGAAACGGAGACAGAGACTGAGAGGTGAATGCAACACTGGAGAGATCACTAGATACCCAGAGGGTCACTCAGGCTGAAAAAGAGTAGCTGAGGAAGAGTGATCTCAGATATCAGCGCAACTCACAAGCCAGACGGGGGCCTAGAGGAGGGCTGAGTTGTTACTCTGGAAAAAAATATCACCTTTGAGAGATACAAATAAGCAATTGAATACTGCATATGTGGGTCCCTGGGTGGAAAGCTCAGTGACAATGAAGGAAGGTGATAAGGGGGTTTGATTATGGAGGGAAAACTCCACAGCATTATCGCACATATACTCATCAGAGCAGCCGATAACCAAAACCTGGAGGTGGGATGGGTGTGGAGTGTGTGCAGGGAATTTCCTTGAGGAAGTCACACATTGGTAGAGCCTGAGTCATAACTATGGGATGGGCAAAGAGAGGAGGAAAATCTCTCCTCAGAGAAGCAGCAGTGAGGTCAATGGCTGGGATATGAGCAAGAGCACTGTATGTGGAATAGTCTAGAACATGATACGAAGTGGGTAGAGGAGAAGCACGAGATATGAAATGTCTGATGTAGGCAGACCAGGTGTTGTCAATAAGACTTAGGTGTATCCTGGCTGTGATCAGTTAAGAGAGACACAGTGTGATAGGACTGACTTTCTGCCACAATGAAGTTCTTCATGAGAAAATATGTGCAGTGGCTACTGACCAAGATGCCCCTTTCCCCTGAAGTGTCAGATAAAGTGTGAGAGAGGGGCTTCCCTCTGGCCTGAGTGCTGCTTCTTTCCAAATCAGGGAATGAATCTCCAAGGTCTGGGAGAGGAGATAATCCATCAGATTATAGTGCAGACAGCAAGTTTTCTCTCATTGGGTACCTGTATGTTTCACCATCCCCACCCTAATCGAGTGGGCACGGAAGAGTTCATAGGGCTACTGGTGACAGGGATCATGGAGGCCCAGTAGAGGTGGTCTGATGGATTGTCTCCTCCTTTCCTCCCCACTTCCAACTTTACACATTCAGTTTATAGTAGCACCGTAGCACTATCCTCCTGTTGTTCATCGATTTGCTCGAGCAGGCGCCAGTAACGCCTCCATTGTGAGACACGTTGTTAGTGTTTTGGACATATCAAATACATCATGAGTAGCTTGCCAGGCTTTGCCTTGTGGGCGGGATACTCTCAGTAGTTTGCCAGGCTCTTCGAGAGGGACAAAGGAATCGAACCCGGGTTGGCCTCATGCAAGGCAAATGCCCTATCTGCTGTGCTATCCATCTGGTCATATAAGGTATCAGGGATCAAATCCAGGTCAGGCACGAGCAAGGCAAATGCCCCACCCCCTGTGCTATGGCTCCGGTCGTGATGTGAATCCCACCAGACTCTTGCCTGAACTTCCCAACAAGAACAGAGAGCAGTGACTTTGTCATTTATGAATGGAGTTATATACCCAGAGATTTAACTTAGGAATCAGGACATCAGGACTCCAGGCCAAACTCTGCTTCTTTCTAATGTTGGCATCTTGTGTTTATGTTTCTTATTGCTGGTGTATCAGTTTCTATGCCTCTTAATTAGGACAAGAATCCCTGGAACCTTATGGGGCTCTTACGAAAACCAAACAAGGGCACTGGGCTGTGGAAACCCTGATGTTCTAATAAAAAGTGTGCCAGCAAAAGAAGCTCACCTGGTATCACAGACACAGTCTTTAAAGCTCTAAGAACTCTGAAGGTCCTCAGACCTGACACCCCGCGGAGATCCATCGCTTCACCGACGTATCTGTCAGACCAGAACTCAGTCAACATTCCTGCAGGCAGAGGGACCTGGCGATGCAGGCAGCTTAAGTAAAGACAATCTGAGATCCCAGGGCAGAAGGGGGGCCTAGGACTGGCCCAGGTCTGACACTAATCCAGAGGTACTTCCCCCTATGTATATTCTAACACCCTGATCTGATCACCACACTCATTCAGAAGCCTTTGAGAAGTTCCTTGAGAAGTGTGTGACACTGGGTTGCCAGGAGCTTCAGCTAGGAACAGATAATCCAGCTTGTGGGCTGACCAAGCAGTATCCTCAGACCTCGGTCCCTCAGGGCCAGCACTTCCTGTTGGGTAGATTCAAGCTCTGGGTAGATTCAAGGTACTTGTCCGCAGGGACTAGAAGCCTCTGTTTTCTCCCTTGGGTGGTACGGCTGATCCTGGAAAATGACTCCCAAACCACACCCCACATCAAGGAGGCCCAAGGCCCTGTAGTTCCAAATGAGGAAGCCATATCAAAGCGGGAAAGTGGCCAAGTGGGAACCTGGACACACCTGCCACCTCCCACTCCCCCCCCCCATTCCCCCACAGACTCACATGACGGGCTGAATGGAGGAATACTCACGCCAGTGTGATGACGCTGAAATCCAGCCAGTTCCAAGGGTCTCGAAGGTAAGTGAACTTATTTAAACAAAACCCTCTTGCCAGAATCTTTATCAAGGCTTCAAAGGTATAAATGCCAGTGAAGACATACCTGGGAGGGAAGGTGGCAAAGGAGTCTGGGGGGTGCTGTGGAGAGAGCTCGGAGGGGGGTGCCCTGCTGGGACAGTTCCAGTGCCCATGGAAAGCTCACTGCACCGGTTGGGGAGGACCAGCAGGGGAGGGATAGAAATGAGGAGGCAGCCTGAGAAGCTGAGAAGAGGCACAGGAGGAGTGAGGTGTGGAGGGGTTGTGTGGCTGTGACTCTGAAGGGAAACAGAGGGCTATGCAGTAGACGAAGCATCACACGCTCAGTGAGACTCCACTGGTTTTACATGTTCTCCCAGCTTCCTGCCTGAGGGAGCCTGGGTGGACCCTCTGCCCAGTTGTTCATAGCTGGAGCATGGGAGAGGGTAGAGACGTTGCTACCCTCCTCCTCTATAATCATCTTTCTCTTCTTTTTTCATACCAGGTCCATCTGCCAGTGTTTCTGCTCTCAGAGATTCCAGCACAGAGCCATAGAAGGTGCCCATCAACTAGGTCCACCTTCCATGGAAGAAAGTAGCATCCAAAGGGCTAGAGAGATAATATGAGGGATGGGGCAGGGAATGCTCCCCTGGCATGTGGCCCACGCTGGCTCCATTCGTGGTACCGCATGGTTCTCCATATACTACCCAGAGTACCACAAAGCACAGAGCCAGGAGTAGCCCCCAACACCACCATGTATGATCCATCCACTCTATCCAGAGAGAGGGAAAAAGAGAGGGGGGAGAGAGAGAGGGAGAGAGAAGGAGGAAGGAAGGGAAGGAAGGAGGAAGGGAGAGAGAGAGAGAGAGAGAGAGAGAGAGAAAGAGAGAGAGAGAGAGAGCACATTTTCTCAAGAGGATAGTTCCTGTTACAGGAAGTCAACCAAGATAGGTACTTTGTAGGTGTAGCTTTGAAGAAACAAATTAGGAGCTCAAGTTACAGGCAGGGTAATATTTTTTGGAAGGGTCACCTGCAGCAGTGGTTCTCAAACTTGAACAAGCATCTGAAGCACTAGGAAGCCTTGTTTAAGAAAGTATGTCTGGGCTCTCCTAGTTTCTGATTCAGTAAGTCTGGGGGTACACTCTGCATTTCTGGGTGTTTTGTTGTTGCTTGTTTGGGGGACACACCCAGCTGTGCTCAGGGTTTACTCCGGCACAGGGATCATTTCTGGCAGAGTTGAGGGGACTATATGTGGTACAGGAAATGGAAATGAAAATGGGCAGCTACATGCAAGGCAAGTGCCCTACATACTGTACTATCTATCCCCAACTCTGCATTTCTAACAAGTTCTGAGATGATGTTTATGTTGTTGGCTTGGAGGAATACCCTTGGAGTAAACTGATCCAGAGGATTTGGGTACACACAGAAATCACATCTGATTTCGGACACACTGAAAAAAATTTAAATTAAAAAAGCATTGGAAATTAAGAAGACACAAAATAGGGCTGGAGCAATAGCACAGTAGGTAGGGTGTTTCCTTTGCATATGGCCGACCCTGGTTCGATTCCCAGCATCCCATGTGGTCCCCTGAGCACCGCAGGAGTAATTTCTGAGTGCAGAGCCAGGAACAACCCCTATGCACCACCGGGTGTGACCCAAAAAGAAAAAAAAAAAGAAGACACAAAATAATGCCTTCAAAAAACGTTCTTTATGCTGTTATGGGGTAAGCTTGGTGGTGCTGGGTGTACATATCGCCTAGGATCAAACCCAAGGTCTCCCATATGCAAGGCATATGCTCTAACTCTCGAACTATATCTTCAACCCTGGTGTGTTCAAATTTGGGGGAAAATAATTTCTAATCTAAAAAGTTTTCTCTGCTTAAATTGTTAAAATGAAGGTAGAATGAAGATAAATGTAGATATGCAAAATCTCAGTAAAGTCACTCCCCACTTTTTTTTTTCATAGAAAGCCACTAGGGACTGTAATCTTCTAAATAAAGTAACCAGGTAAAAGGAAGATATAGTATCTGGGGAGAAACAAATGAGACCCAAAAGAAGCTGGAGAAGGGAACATCTCCAGAAAAGCACTGTGTGTCTGGCATAGAAAACATCTAGGTCCAACTGAGGTAGTAGATGGGGAACTTCTGGAGTGATTTTCTCCCCAGGAAAAATCGCAAACTTTTAATACAGCCTGATGTATTTAAATGAACAGAAGCAACAATTAAAACCCTGGAGAAGAGTTTGGGAACTTAATAGTTATTAACATATAAACAACTAACTGAATGAAGAAATGTAATCCTTCCTCCTTCCTAACTCTGGAGAATGCAAACACACTGTCCAGACGGAAATGGAGCAGAGCACATGGCAGAGCTGTGACTCGTATTCGCTCAACAGTGCTCAGAGACTCGAATGCAGTAGGACAGTATACATCACACACATTAGTAACTTGAAATTATGGCACAACTATTAAAGGAAGATGAGGGCGAAAGGAAATGAGTGTAAATTCATGACTTCATTTCTTTTTCCCTTTATAAGTAGAAACCAACAGATAATGTCTAAAATGAAAAACTAAAAAAGAAAAAAGGAGGCATGACTCTATCATTAGATGAAGGGAGATAACAGAAGAAAGAGGTTTAAAACAAAAACAAAAACCCAACATGACACCGAAGAATGGTTGCCTCTGGAAATACGTGATCAGAGGGAGATGAAAATTTTTTTAAAAAAGTGTTTTTTTGCTCAAATCTTTATCAAACTCTGTGACCTTTTAAATCAAGTTCCCATATAGCTAAAAGTAAAAATTAAAAAGTGATAAGTAGTAATGTCATTTTTCAATATCTGGGAGTGGAGACAAAGTATTACAGACCACTCCTGAGGAAATCTGTATCTGACTGAATAGGTGCTTGAGTTGCCATGTCCATATCTTGTTCCTTCCCCTCCTTCTTCTGTTTCCTGAATCAGAGCATCTTAACTCCGAATTATAGGCTGCTGGGAAGCTGTGACGGATACTTCTGGTGTTTCATATCAAATACAAGCCCAGAAATTATGAAGAGATTTTTTTCCTTGAGACTGTCCCAGATCTTTGTCATCATCTCAAACAGAAATTTTCTACTCACTTAACAGCCTTTTCCAATTCTTCCCTGGCCTGCTCTCTAGTAACTCCAATTTTACTTTTTGTTCCTTTGGATTTGCTTGTTCTAGGTACTTCTTATAAGTGGAATCATTCAATATTTGTCTTTTAAAGTCTAACTTATTTTACCTAGTATTCATTCATTCATTCATTCATCATCCTGTTAATCGTCGATTGCCTCGAGCAGGCCCCAGTAACGTCTCTTTCATCCTAGCCCTGAGATTATATTCAAGGCTTTTTAGGAGAATGAGACCCATCATTGTTACTGGTATTTGGCATATTTGGTGCGCCACGGGGAGTTTGCCAGACTCTGCCCTGTGGGCAGGCTATATTCGATAGCCTGCAAGTTTGTCCAGAGTAGGAATGAGATAATGAGATATCATAAAAAGATTTTTATGATTTACCTAGTATATTGTTTTAAAGACTTGTTCGTATTATAGCACATTTCAGAACTCATTCAGTTCTGTCTGTTTTTTTTTTTTATTTTTTGCTTTTTGGGTCACACCCAGCGATGCTCAGGGGTTACTCCTGTCTCTGCACTCAGGAATTACTCCTGGCAGTGCTGGGGGAACATTATGGGAAACCGGGGATTGAACCTGGTTGACCGCATGAAAGGCAAATGCCCTACCTGCTATACCATCTCTCTGGCCCCTCATTCAGTTCTTTTCCTTCTTTTTTTTCAGTTCTTTTTCTTCTTTTTTTTGTGATGTGAGGGATCAAACCTTGGGCCTTACAGATGCAAGGCAATTGCTCTACCACTTTACTAAGAAGCTTATTCATTCTCTCTCTCCCTCCCCCTCTCTCTTCCTCCCTCTTTCCCCCTCTCTCCCTCTCTTTTTTGTTTTTTTTTTTTTTTGGTGACACCCAGCAATGCTCAGGAATTACTCCTGGCAGTGCTGGAAACCATATGGAATGCAGGGGTCCCAACCTGGGTCAGCTGTGTGCAAGGCAAACACCTTACCTACTGTACTATAGCTCTAGTCCCAAAGATCATTCTCTCAGGGATGAATTATATACCACCTTGGGGAATGAGAAATAGTACAGGAGATAAGGCAATTTACAGACCTGGGTTTGATCCCTAGTACTGCATAGAGTCCCTCAGTACCACCAGTGGTCATATCTGAGCATGAAATCAATAACAGCTTCTGAGCATCATGGGATATGACCCAACCCTCTCTCTCCTGAAGAACAATATACCATTGTGAATCTATAAATCCCATTTTGCTTATTCACTCATTTGTCAATGGACATTGAATTGTTTCTACCTTTTGGCTACAGTGAATAATATTACTGTAAACATATGTATATAAACTACAAATCTTTTTGAGACTATTTTATAATTTACAAAGTAATCTTTAACTAAACCTGAAACCTTCTTCTTTCAAAATTAGCATTATGATAAACAGGACAAAAATTATTGAGCACTTTGCTCTCATAAATATGTGAGTGCATACACTGGCTTATTTATAACTTTATTAGTCTATAAAATAAAATGTCTATTTACATACTTATCATTGATTCTAAAAGCCAGTCACATTACAAGAAATCCAATAGTCCCTATAAAAGAATTCTACCAATGGTTTCCTGTTTTCTTTCTGACTACAGTATTTGTCATTGATTTTGAAGCTGGTTTCATCTTACCACCAAAAGTTAAATGTATTTATTGCTTTTACCTCAAAAGCATGCTGGAGCTATAGCACAGGGTGTAGGGTGTTTGCCTTGCACACAGCCACATGGCCGATCAGAGTTCGAATCCTCCGTCCCTCTCGGAGAGCCCGGCAAGCTACCGAGAGTATCTCGCCCGCACGGCAAAGCCTGGCAAGCTACCCGAGATGTATTCGATATGCCAAACACAGTAACAACAAGTCTCACAGTGGAGACGTTACTGGAGCCCGCTCGAACAAATCGATAAACAATGGGAGGATAGTGATAGTGATAGTGATCTTAAAAGCAAATGACTCT